TTCAACAAAAAACTGTGGATTCCTCCTTTCACCACGTCGCCTTCTAACCCTCGCACGACCATCGTGCATGCCTAAACAAAATCGAGACTCGTCACTAAAGACAATACTGTTCCATTCCTGATCCCAGAGTGACCGTTGTCTGCACCACTCAAGGCGATTACGTCGGTGTTCTCGAGTTAAAGGGAGGACCCAGTGTGGCCGGTATGAAAACAAGCCAAAACTTCTCATTCGTCGGTAAACACTTCGCATGCCAATAGGTCTTCCGTGTTCTGCAAACCATTCATTTGCAATGGACCTGGTAGTGGAGAAACGGTCCCTCAAGGACAATAATCTTAGGCGGCGATCTTCACGGTCTGTTGTTCTACGGCGGCGTCCAGTGCCCCTTGCTCTTTGCGTACGGCCTTCTCGAAGCCATGCCTGACAACACCTAACCAGTGTCTACACTTCTTTGCACTCTAACTGCAATTGCCCGAAAAGAAAGTCCAGCTTCCCGAAGTCCCACTATACGGCCCCTATCAAACTCACTAAGTTGACGAAATCGTACAGGTCTCCGTACTCTAGGCATCGTAACCGATCGTAAAGGATGTCAAGAACCAAAATCCGCCAATGTTGATTCTTTACTGCGGCTGAAATATTCAGTTTTAGAGCGTTAGTGAATTAAAAAAAAGCAGTATAAAAACCGGAATGTCCAACTGATAAGGCTGAAAATTTTTTCACTTGTTATTTACAGTAAGATAAATACATTCACCAACTTTTATTAAAATAAAACCATTTAAACTGGGTGTTCGGATTTATATGTCACTTAGTATATGTCCCTAAGGTAAAATGTCATCTTTTTGTTATAACATTAAAAGCTGTTTTCAAAACGTATGTCAATTATTGAGATATTCAAATGGAGGATGAAGCTATACTCAAAATTACTTATTTCTCAATCATTCTAAAATAAAAAGTTCAGTTGGCAAACTGACACAATAAAATTGACAAAATAGTTTGGAATGACATTAGTATTTATCTAGATGTTTTTTTGCTTTCCCTAATTGCCTCTGAAGATAAATGCTACTTCTCAATAAGGCATTGCAGTCTTCAATGGTAATTTATTAGGCGATATTAGCGATAAAAAAAATATCAAGAGAAAAACAATTAAACATATTTGAAGTCAATGGCTTTAATCAACGAGTGGAAAGTACTGATTCGATCTAATTATTTCCTGTATTTTATGATTCTGACAGCTTAGAAGAAAAATAGATTCTGCCTATAATATACTAACCTGAAGCAAGGTGATAAATGTACTGACATATTCCTATGTCTCTTCTCAAACCGATTATATTTCCTGATATAATGCAAGTAGTCGCGTCGGATGACGATGGTACGTTGCATCTTCATCTTCTGTACAACGCCGGTTAGGATACGACCTCTGATTGAAACGTTGCCAGTGAAAGGGCATTTCTTGTCAATGTATGAACCCTCTATGGCCTGTACAGAAATATCCATAAAAAATTGTTGCATTTTTGGCATAGTTTAGTATATATAAACACTTGATTCTGCAGGTTATCACATACCAGCTATACAGGGTGTTCCATACTTAAATGGACATAGTGAAATCGTGGGTAGGTTGAACCGAGTCCCTTTCATATCTGAAAATTAAAAAGTTCTAAATCCAGTTTTTACGGATGATATATCCAACCACGTCAAACCTTTAATTCATCACATTAGACCCGCTTTTAATGAAATTTTGCACAATAGTTACCCAAGACTACCGTAAAACTAGACGGAAGTTTCAAACATTTCAATATAAAGGTGTTGATTTTGACAATAAAAAAGTGGAAAAAAAATCCGGAGTCCGGCCGTGGATCTCTTAACCGTGGGTCTAGTTCCCGTTACTCCTAGCTAACAGTCAGTCAGTTCAACAAAATTCAATGTAATATTAATGATTTGGCCGTGTTAGATAAATCACCCGTAAGAACTAAATTCAGAACTTTTTATTTTCAGTACAGAACATCCTGTATATAGGGCTTTACAGAATGTCACAAAAATTTAACGGCAGATTCAGCACATAGAGATACTAAAAAATGGTTCTAGACACTCCTTGCTTCTATGAATCGGGGGGTTTTAAACTTATCCGTGATTAATAGGAAAAAGTTGACCATTGGGTTTAGCAAAGACTGGTGTCCTTTTCTTGAAGCCGTTAGGTATTTTCGTCGCTTATTTACTATTTTTCAATCATTTTGTCGCTAATAATTATAAGAAAATCACAATTTAAATGTTGAATGTGGTGTCCTAGGGTAAATTTTAAATAGAAAAAACATTCCTGCAGATGATTTTTTGCTAAACACAGAGCCCAGCTGGGCCAAGCCCCGCCGATTCAAATACTTTAAAAACAAATTTATACATGTTAATGTCGTAATTTCGTAATACATTTGCATGTATCCAAACTCATCCCAATATGTCAGTTTGTTTTTAAGAAATGTGAGGTGCACTATCAAAGACAGATAAGTTTAAGCACCCCTAACATGCTGAATCTGCTGTATCATTTTCCTAACGATATTTTGTAAAAGTCCTGTTATGCCCTGCTATAGCACGAGAGGATGATGGAACAGACATTTTAGGGAATTTTCCGCCCGCCAGTGGACACTGATAGAAAAATCACCCTCAATACCATAAGCACCTGTTGGTCATCAGTTCACCACAGCAGAAATTTAAATCTAGCAGAACTTCCATACTTCAAAGATGACATTGATATTCTTGTTTTCATTTTCAAAATGTTTTACAACATATCAGGACATAACAAAATGCTTCAAAAATCAAAATTTGAATGGGTTCTTCAACTATGAGAAAAAAATTAAAGTACCCAGGCTCCACTATCCCTATGCAGCTGGCCATCACCTATTTTATTAATTTTTATGTTGCTTTTGGCAGGTGTTTTTTATTTCCCACACAACTGATCGCGAAAAATAATTTCGATAATTGAATGTTTTTTTAATATTATATGAAACATACATCACGAAAAACCACGTAATTAATTTTCGTCGCTCTGTCTATTGATCTGACCGCTCATGGGAGTTTTGGAAAGTACGTCGCAATGTTTTGCTGTTAGTATATTTAAACATGGAATGATAGCGAGATATCTACGATACGATTCTCTGCTCTCTCGATTTACCAGTGTCAGTCTCACCAATGCATCAAGAGGCATATCAAGTCGTGAAGTATGTGGAAGGAACCACATCGCCAGATGGAAAAATGTTCAGACTAATTATATGGTCCTTTTTAACAGACTTGATTCCCTGTTATACATGATTGTAGTTAAATTTTTTCACATATGGTCTAATTTCTACCGAACATAATCTGTTATGCACTGATGGCAGCTGCATGGGAACTGCAGAGTCAATCTACTTGACGCCATTCTAATAGATAGAAATGTGGTTTGAAGTAATAAAAATATAGGTTGAACCAAATGTCCAGATAAGGTTATTTTTTTAGAAAATTCAGTGTTTTCACTCATATTGTCTAGTCTATAGAACATATCTACTGAAATTTTATACCACCAAAGTATAATATTTTTTTTTACGTACAACACTAGGATAGAAGAAATGGAACAACAAAATAAAAATCTTCAATTAAACATAAGATTCACTAAGTTAGTTGATTATTCTGAAAATATGGAAAACTGACACAATACCTACAACAAATGCTTGCATTGAGGGATTTTTTGGGTATAAGCTGACAGGCAGAGGATCCCAATGAATGATTTCCTCTGCAATCCCCTAGTGTGAGCTAACAATAATTGTTTTCACTATCTAATTACCAAGCTCATACTTCTAACACCTTTGAAAAATCCATATATATTAGTAACTAGCTAGTGGAACAAAAAAGTGGACCATGTAGAACCACATGATACATGAAGGAGCCACATCAAAATTATATATGGCCATCTTTAAAAGAATTGTAAAACACACAAGAAATGAGGTTTACCAGAAGATTCTAGAAATTGGAAAACAGCAATCAGTTTTAACACTTCCAGAAAGTATTCAATCATCTGTTTAATTCTGTTCAGCTCTCTTTAGGTCAACAAAATATTTTTAGAACTATCATAGGAAAACAGCCCTGATTTTTTTATATATATTTAGAAAACACCTTCTGTATATTATCATGTGCTTCTTCTGTCATTGCTATTTTTTTCCTGTAATCTGTATGTGTATAAAAATTATTAGATCCAACACCCTAAGAGAATATGTTAAAAAATATGTTAGATGATTGATGAAATATTCTAAATTAATATGTTGCTATATAATTTCTATAATGAGATGAGTAATGTACATTTTTAATTGCTTGAATTATTTTATTTGTAATGGGTATAAAGAAACAGAATTTAGATATAGAATAATATGTGACAAATCTATTAATTTTCAAATAAAGTTCATTACTAATAATAGGCATATACATGTCGAACTGTATGGGTTAACTATATCCAACTATCCACAATCCTGAAAAATCTTTTGCCAGAACATGTCTAATAACAATAAGTTTAGTCACAACCTGGAAATTTTCATGGAATCACTGGACTGTATATGTAACCAAAACATTAGAATGTAAAAAATACTCTTACTATGAATTTCATATAAAAAGCACACATATATGACATAAATACCCAGCACATGACATAAAAATGACAGATATTCAAATAAAATGCACACTCCACCAGAATGCTTCCAAGCTCTTTTTACAAAAAACATATGAACATAATAAAAAATTAAGCAACAGGACCATATTGTAATACATGATTAAATAGCATTGTTTTGATTTCATTTTGTTAACCAATTAGCAATGTTATCTAGACCCAAGCATCCTTAACCATCCCATCAGTGCATCACTGAAGCCACCTGCCACCTTCCCGGGAAGCACCTAGAAATCTGAAAAGTAACAAACCTCTCTGGGCGTTTTGAACCCTAGCCCTACATTGCGGTGCAACCTCAAATTCTTCTTTTTTGCGCCCTGTTTCCTGTTCAGGAACACCGTTGGTTGTTTTTGGAAAGCTTTTTCTGTCTGATTAAAAGAAAATCTGGTTAATAAAGTGGCAAGCAATTACCTCTCTGGGGGTTTTGAAGCCGAGCCCCACTTCTCGGTAGTAACGTAAGGATTTACGCCTTTTGGGGCCAGCGCCCTTTTTCCGATTCAGAAAGACTGTCGGCTGACGCTGGAATGCCCTCTCGTTCTAAAACATTTCAGATTTTTAAATTTTCGATATGTTTAAAGCTAACCTAGAGGAAACACACATCGCCACGTGCGAGACTGAAAAACATTATAAAAATTATAGTAGTGCATGCACGACTGATTTATCACGTGGATAAATCAACAAGGAATTATAAAAATGCCTGCATTCATGAAAATTGGTACAGGAAACCAAATATAATACTTAAACATTTTGCAAAACATACCTGATCCGCCATTGTGTCACTTAAAAGAATTATTTTCAACTAAAGTCGTCACGGGGCGCTGTACATGAAACAGTAATATCACAGAATACAATGACCCAGATGAAAGCTGACAAATACAGCTGTCGACACTGAAACGACAAGCATTTGCTCCGCCATTTTCTCCTTACGACATAATATAAATACAAATTAATGCAGACGAGAGAAAATTGGTATTTATTTATACGTCGCCTCCAGCATGTATACAGACTATAAAATGGCGGATGTCTTACATTTTTAACAGAATATCTTCTTCCTGTCGCTTTTCCGTCTCACCATACAAGATAGGCGGGATCCAGTGTTGCCAGACCTACCGATTTTTTCTGTATTTCTACCGAAATGAGACCAAAACCGAATTCACAATTTTTTCAAAATAATCTCGATTTTTGCCGAAAAAGAGCTGGAATCAAAAATAAAGCTAAATAGTGAGTCTTATGTAGTCTACGTAGTTTTATGTGCCATACCACTCGCGCATAAGCGAACATTTGGGCAGTCGGGCTCACAAGGGACATAGATTTTGATTGCTTACAATTATGTACGCACATCCCTTATTCCGCTCTCCCTATGTTGATTTTTGTGTACAACAAGTACAGACTGGCGGATCACATTCATTACCGCGTCACCAGACAGCAAAAAGGGAACCAAAGCTCGTCTGTATTTAATTGAATGTTAAATTAAAATGTCAGGTGATAAGGTTTCAAGTTCAAAAATGAAACAGTAAAATATTCAGAATCTTATGGACAATAATAGCAAAGGAATTATTAACGGTGGTTGCAAAGGAGTTTGTTAAACGACATTGTACAAGTTGTAATAAAGAACAGATGCCCTCAAAAATATGTTGTGTATGTGTGCGCGCAATACAAAATTGTAATTTTTTTCATAGCGGGCGCTGTGTGACGCAAAGTCCCTTGATCTATCGCTGATCTTGTAACGGCACTGATTTTTTCCATCCTACCTATTTTGTCCTTGAACTACTTAATTTCAACGCACTCAGATTTCATCTTTTTCGGTCCGGCAACACCGGTGAGATCAGTGCTATGTGTTCTGTGAGGTGAGATGCAGACTTGCAGACATAGGGGTAGTCGTAATTGCACAAAAAGGGTACTTTAGAAGAATCTTTTTTTACAGATACTGACAGATACAGCCGTTACAAAATGTAGGAGATAGAGCAAGGATATATTAGAGACCGTAGAAACTTAAAATATGCAACGGTAATATATAATTTATTTCCAGGTACAATTAGACCGAGTATTCAAAGGATTCTGAATCAATTACAATAAAGCAAACATCGTTATTACTGCAAAAAATATTTTCTGAAAGCATAATTTATGCTCATATATCAAAACATAGGTATTTATGTACTCGTATCTGGGCAGATAAGATACAAAATAGATGCTAATTATAATAATCCAGCAAAATGTTACAAGAAAAACATTAGCAACGTCAAATAAAAGCAAAAATGAAGTACAATACCAGAACGGGAAATGTAAAGAACACCCAGGCACCATAGGTGGGTAACCGGCCAAAATTAAATTTTGTTGTACATGTATGTTTACAGCATTAAAAACTATTGTTTTGTAGTCAGGCCTGTGGGCACTGTATTTTAATAATGTCAGTAATACAACCACTACTATGAGATTAAACACATAAACTTTATTAAACCACCAATAAGCAAATAAAGATGTTGACCGGAACTTACGGGCCGAGTAAAGATAACATGGCCACGGCGTGGCCGCTACGCAAGGCAAGTATTGAAAAGTAATCTACTAGAATGAAATGCCAAAGACTTTCGCAGCCATCATCCAATGTTATTTGGTCGGTTTTTGGGTAGTTAGGCCGTGGTAAAATATTTATATTTGACGTTTCGCCAACACGAGTGGTTGGCATCTTCATAAGGTGTTCACAGTATCACAGTTCGGAGTCCAGGACTCCGAACCACATAACATTACTCTACTAGACTCTAGAAGACTATCCGTAGAGAAATTTTCCTTGAAATTCCTTGCACACCGCTTGAAAAGTTGAAAAATGCAAATGAAGATTGGAACACTACGGCTTTGACATACTAAATGAGCCCGTCATTATCGGGGGATCGACATACGTCTTGGCAGTTGTCGTTATCATTCTTGTCACCTAGATTTCGGCATTGCCAGCTAATCGGACAATTGTGCTACCTCTGCTATTTTGCTAGAATCTTATAAAAAAAAAGTATTGAATAAAATATTGAGGGTACCAATGGAAATAGATAAAATTTGAGGCGTAGCAATGTTTGCCAAAAAACTAAAAAAGAGTTGTTATTTACATTTTCCGTCGCCTGGCGTCTATGCGGCGGAACGTCAATGTCTCTGAACACTTTTGTAAATGCCCAGTTTTAGAGGATAAAATACTTTTTGTATACAAGACTTCTTCCAACAATTGAAAAAACAATGTTTTATGATATAAATATATTTATTAATTATTTGATCTAAAATTACATGATCATTAATAGAACCACGATTTTCATTTTCTCTACTACTTATTAGGGGAATATAGTTTTTTAGTGACTGTATTCGCACTTGGGTGAGGAAAACCTCAACCGTCTCTGCTAAAATGAATTGTATCGGGTGAAGAAAAATCAAGTTGTTCCACAATTCTGGCTTCATTTGTACAATCGAAAAACGCCAGCAAGCCACAGTTATTAAACTAAAAAAAAAGTAGCATTGATGTAACAGTTTATACGAGGGTCATTTTTTAAATAAGAAACGTCTCGGTCAATGCAGTTGTTTTGTTTTTTTTCTTGAGTTTTCTTATCTGACAGTATCAAGAAGCGACTTGATGTTTATGGGCGTGGCTGTACTACCCGGCCGTACCGTATCGCCGCAGCGAGGTACAGCACTCACACGATTCAGTTTCTCGGCAATCGTCGGCGTAGCGGAATGTCTACGCGTTCTCAGCTCCGTGCAGAGCTCTATTCGGTTTAGCTACTTTTTTCAGTAGTGATGTTCACTATAGGGTTCTCGATAGTCTCTCACTGGTACTTTGGTGTTTTAGTGTTGTGACGAGGGTGTCAAGTGTCTCCAAAGTGTAAATTAGGTCTACTTCCAACTCTTCTGAGGCAAACAGGATATCTGTGCATGAAACTAGGTGAGCCTTGCATACTCATCTACTTGTGTGTTAGGGTTGACATCCTGTTTTTTTTTTAATAAATTGCACACCGAGAGATTAGTCATATACTGAGGTATTTGGGAAAAAAGAGGAAAGTGAATTCGATCAGAAAATAGGATAGGTAACCCGAGCGATGCGTATTACTTTGGCCAAATCGTTTTTATTATTGTCTGACCTTATTTTAAGAAATTTCAAAAAACTAATGGCACTACATAATGGTGTTCTTAAAAAAGTACTACCCTGTATCTAATAGCATCTTTTTCTACGACTTCAACGATGTATCACGTTACATTTGTTTTTTAGTTATAAACAAAGTTGTTTTTTATACTTTTTCATTTTATTTAGGTAGGCGTTGCAAACAACTGCTTGCTGTAAGATTGATGTGATGACTGAATTTAACCTAGTCTGATCTTTATCTTGGCCACCCTGTAATACATTATTATAAAAATAAAATTTACAGAAACGTGTACTAATATAACATTCTTCTAAGTATTCTGAAAAATCTCAAAAGTATTAGCAATTCCTCGAACAAAAAACTATTTTTAGTAAAAGGAATTTGTGATAGCAAAATCGTCCAATAAAGGTGGCAACGCCGCAATGCAGGTGACAAGAATGACAAGGTCAACTTTCAAAACATATGTCTATCCCGGGGTAACAACGGCTTCGTATAGAGCGTCAAAGCAGCAGTTTTCCGATCTTCATTTGAATATTTTGTGTGTGTTGTGCAACGATTTCGAGAAAAATTTCTCTACTGATAGTCTAGTAGGTATATTTCAATAGTTGCCTTGCGTGGCCAAGATATCTTTCCTCGGGCCGGAACTTACTTCTGTCTCCTCTGTAAACGATCAAACGTCAGTGACCATGTCATCCGGCAAATACAAGCGCGCGAATTTCAAATTTGAAATTTTATTACTACGGTTTATTCAATCCATTGGAAACTGCCATTGAATACGTCAAAAAACTTATACATGCAAGGCATATCTGTGAAGGCAAAAAATTAAGGGAGTTTAACGGGCAATTGTTTGATCATATCGAAAGCTATAATTACCACCCTAGGGCATAAAGGAATCTGTGTATTGGAAGGTGTGGCTTGACGCTCCGAAAACCTATTCATATGGTATATATGCTTCTCCGCTCGGTTCTAAACAATTTTAAAATAATGTTACGATAATCTTCTAAATTATCATTTATTTTGAATTCTTGCAGAACATTCAGTTGCAAGCTCCAAATACAGAGTTACTACAAAAACAGAAAAATACTTATCAGGAAATGAAACTGAAAACACATTTCGGCTGCTACTTAAAAAAAGCAAACACCAGAAATTGACATATTTGCTATACTTTTAATCATTTCACTCAATGAAACACAACATCATCTGACAGAGGTTCTCAGAGTATTTCAAAAATCCGACATTTAAGGCAAAGTAATAGAAAATCCCTCAATGTCTTACAGATTGTATCTTGGTTTATTGTAAAAATGTTCCAGTCGTACTACAAAAATTGTTCGGAAACAATTACAAATCGCTTTAAAAGCAAAAAAATGGTTTAGACCATTGTAAAAACCACAACAAGGTAGCTAATATTAGGTCTAACTTTTCTTGAATATTTCGATAATCGGTAGATTATTGGAAAACGGCTTTTAATGCCAGCAAAATAAAGACACAACTAATAATCACTATCTTCAAGATTTGTATGCATATAAAATATGTTCAAAACATAAACAAGTGTATTTTTCAAAACTCCAAAATAAAAAATAATGGACAAAATAACGAATACACTAAAATATCTATCAGAGGCTCTCAAAGTATTTCAAAAATCCGACATGTAAGGCAAAGTAATAGAAAAACCCTCAATGTCTTACAGATTGTATCTTGGTTTATTGTAAAAATGTATCAGTCGTACTACAAAAACTGTTCGGAAACAATTTCAAATAGCTTTAAAGACAAAAAATGGTTTAGATCATTGTCCAAACCACAACAAAGTAACTAATATTAGGTATCGCTTTTCTTGAATATTTTGATAATCGAGAGATTATTGGAAAACGGCTTTTAATGCCAGCAAAATAAAGACACAACCAATAATCACTAGTACTTTACTCTCCTCTGAAACTGAAATGGGCCCGTCCCCAGGCCAGCTCTGCTTCCTACTGCATTCATATGAATTTGACAGTTTGACACCAGACTACTAGATGATTCAAACTATTTGTAAAATGAGTATGAAACGTCATAATCGTTGATTTACGCAGAGGTTAGAGTAACTTACGCAATACAATGAAAATATTAATATCTTAGAAAATAAATCGAAGGCAATGATATTGTATAGTTAGTAGTGAAATAATTCTATGCATACCTCAGTGAAGGCGGCCATTATTGATTTTGCACATTGTATCCCTCGGCGCTATGCCTCTTAGGATATATAAGAGTGTTCAAGCAATAATGGCTTACCTGTCAACCTATGTATTACTTCAAAAAAAATCTGAAAAATATTTAGTGTATTCAAATTTTGGTTTGATATCCATATAATATAATAGTTAATCTGAAAACAACTAAATAAATTGTCTGTCGACTCTGATACTTTGAATACAAAACCATCCTAACTACTATTATCTCAGTCAACTTGGTGACGTTTGAGAATTTTGTTTAGTATAACTAAAATTTCGTCCCATGCAGCGTTGACACTTTTATTGTATTCCGGTGGATTAGTCAACTGTCTTGTGTAATAGCGGTAACAAGACATTAATGCTACTTTGCACCTGATAAGCTCCTCAGCTTCCCTGAAAATGAACAAAAACTTCAGAGTGGACAGGCAATCAGATTCTAGTGATAAGCCGCCACAAAGTTAAAAATTTCTGCCCAACTGGAGGCCGTGCCACCACACGTATCACGCCTAACAACAACAAAATCCAAACTGGAATGAAGCTCCTATAAAATTTGATCGCAATCTTTTAAGAATCTTTTTTTGTTTCCTCGGTATTGGTTTTAAGGACATCAATAAAAGTTACGTTTTGCTTGTTTTGGAAAATCCACCACATTTTTTGAATTGCTAATGAGAAGGTTAATGTTTTTAGGTTTTTATACCTTAATGTATCTCTAATAACACTGCACGACTGCAGATCGATCCATTGTACGGTTTCTCCGGACCGATTGGTCAAAATTTGAAAGAAATCAAAGGAGCAAAATTTATGTATCAAAACATAATATATAGCCTAATTATATTAGACGAAAATCCCCTGGTTTGCGAAATAACTGTAGTCTGGTTTTATTCATGCAAGTTGTTCAATTTATTTTTAATTTTTTTATTCGACAAGAAAGAATGAGAAAACGTGATTTTTGGGATTCAATCGAAAGTGTTGGCAGGAACGAAAAAACTCTTCATATAAGATTTTTAGGTATTTATGAGAACTACAAAATGAGACCACACGTAAAAAGATCCTACTAATAGCAAAAAAGTTATGGCCGAAAACAGGCAAACTGCACTTGTTGGTAATGCGAATTTGGTTTCTCGCAGATACTTAAAATTTTTGAAACTCGTAGGATTCCTACTTCTGAATAACCACAACAAAATTGGAGTAGATTGGTCAAGTAGTTTTTGAGAATTTCTAATTGTTTATAGCAACACACCTGTTTTCCGGCCATCACTACTAGTTTATTGAGCAATATACCAGGGTTAGTTCAAAGGACATTTTACAGCAAAATAGTTTACCTTGCCGATATGATTCGCAAACCATTCCGGAAGATAAATGTTATTTTTATGCAAAAAAGGATGGGTTACGTTTTTTCTTCTAAACAAATTCAAACATTTCGTATTTGTGAGTAATTCGCAACAAAAGATAACAGACACATCCGCTTTGTTTTAAAATGTGTATGGTAACGTATGTTTTTCGAATATCGTAGCGCATTTGTTCAATTACTCACAAATACTAAATGTTTGAATTTGTTTAGAAGAAAACGTAATCTTTGTTTTTCGCTTAAAAATAACATTATCTTTCAGACTGAATTGTGATTCATATCGGCAATGTTAGAAATGGCCGGAAAACAGGTTTTGGGGTGAACAATTAGAAATTCTCAAAAACTACTTGACCAATAAACTCCAATTTTGTTGTTGTTATTTAGAAGTATCAATCCTACGGATATGGAGAATTTCAAGTAGTTGCGTGAAATTATCGCATTGCCAACAAGTGCCAAAACATTTTTGCTATTAGTCGGATCTTTTTACGGATTATTTTGTGGGTCTCATAAATACCTAAAAATCTTATTTGAAAAATGTTTTCCTTCCTGTCAACATTTTCGATTGAATCCCAAAAAACAAGTTTTCTCATTCTTCGTTGTCAAATAAAAAGTTTTCCCAAAAAAAATTATGCGTCCATGTTTTACATACCCTCTTGAACAACTTGCAGCAATAAAACTAGACTTTACAATTATTTCGGGAAAATTTACTAATATGATTAGTCTAGTAACCTAGTTGAAAATAGAAAAATAATTTTTCTTTTTTGTTATCATTATTGGATATATGTAACACTTTCCGTTTTAAAAAAAAGCAATTGGGAAAATGTTATTTTTTTATTCATGAGATATTCGAAAAAATCAAAAATACTGACCTTTTTTCATACTCCAACTACCACGAAGGCCTAAGGCCTAAGCACCCATCGGGTACCGTGGGGCTAGAGGGGGATACATGGGAAAGGGGGGACGCCACACGGACTCTGCGCGAGGGAACACGTGTGCATGCAACATGCACACATTCTGGCTCCGCCTACGAGATCCGCCGGGTGGTACCTCCACGTTCGACAGTCAGAGACCATCTACCACCTACGGACAATCACAACATCCATAGCCAAGAGAAAAGTTTCTCCTGGGACGGGACTCGAACCCGCCCAGCGCACGGCGACTGATCAGGAGACCGAAGAGTCTACTACTGCGGCCCCCGCTGCTGCCTAAATCTGTCTTTCGAATCCCCTCAAAAAATATTTTCTAAATCCCCCCTGGTCGGTATTTTTGTTTTTTGGAATATATGGATCGTTTTCTTGCTCCCTTAATTCTTTTAGCAGTCTTGTCAAACAATTTACTAAGTTGGTGGGTACATTGTTTTTGTGAATCTTTGCATTTATTGGATTTGGACGAACATTCCGATGTGGTTACAATATTTGGAATATTTACTTATTTTTGTAGCATCTATTAATTGGTCAAGAATTGTCATAAATCATGTAACTTGCTAATAATATGAACCAATATTGAAAAAATTATGGATTGGTTAAATGTTAATAAACTTAAATTACTCACTAATAAAACAAAATGTATGTCAGTAGGGAAACATTTAGGTGACAATACAATTAGGCTCATGATTAACGATAAAAAAACTGAAGTCGAATCTGCTTCACAAGCATTATGAATACATTATTTCCCATTATTTTAGTATATATTCCAAAAAAAAAATTCTTCCCCATTTTTTATATTGCTCAACCATCCTATTCACAGCAAATGAAAACATATTTTAAAAATAACAAATTCAACAAAATAAAGCTATGAGAATCATTTTAAATAAAAACAAATAAGCTAGGATTGAGTCTATGTTAGAAGAGATACAGTGGTTGAAAGTGAAAAATTTCATATGTTATTTAGTTCTCGTTTGCAGATACAAATTGAAAAATCATTTATTAGCAGAAAACTTCACAAAATTAAATAGTCATTATCAAAACTACGAAACTAGAGGCAGTATAGATTTTCATCTGCAAAATTGTAATAGTAGCTTAACTAGTAAATCTATATTTCAAAAGGGAGTATTTGAATTTAATAAATTGAATAATTATATTAAGTAGTGTTCGAATTTAAAAATGTACAAGGTGAAATTGAAAAATCACTTTATGAATAATCAAAATGCGTAATGATGTATTTTTAATAGACAAGAATGTAAAATTGCAGAAAATGGATTGATGAAAAATATATTGGCGAATAATTTTACAAAATTAACATTGTAGCATTAATGCTAAATAAATACTCAACAAACAAACAAACAAACAGATTTGCAGTTATGCAAGCCACGGTTCGAAATAGTCACACCCAAAAGTCACGACCATAGAATCAATATTTTCCAAAGAATGGGTATGAAACCGAAATCGTAATATCTACTTCCATTTCTGTTCTTGACTGTGAAAATAAGAAGGATCCGAATATAAATCAAGACCCTTCAGAAATCTTATAAAATATTCTTGTGTATCAATTCTAATCACTATCAACGCTGCTGTTATAGAAGTGCAAAGGCGGTACTGGTACTTACTTTCTATCACAGATAAGTTTCACGGTTGTGTTTTCTAACACTAATTTCACTGGATCATCAGAGCTAATATCACTTTTGATGTCATCATCAACCTAAAAACGAAACAAACCCATTGCAAATAAAAATTATCTGATTACCAGAAGAAGTAAATTTCTAAAGCTTTTGATCACTTCATCATATGCTGGGCTTTATTTAACTGTCGTATCATTGTTCATTATAGAAACAGCAACACTTAATAAATCAAAATTTGAAACATTAAATATAAGTTACAATATTAGCCGAAAACAAGATCTCAAATCAGCACTATCTAAAACAACACTTGTGAAAGATTCAATTATTTATAATCGTTTTAAAATTTACAAGTAATTTAGATATTTCCGCCATCAACTTAAACATGTTTTAATATGTAAACCATATTATACCTTGTGTGAATTCTACAATTCAGCTACTTAATCCAATTTAATTATATTATACTTCAGTTTTAAGTTAGCTTTGTCCTTAAGAATTATTGTATTCTTCAGACAATAAGCACTCGAGATCTGTAAAGTAAGTGATGAGACTGATTTTTTAAACATTTTTATTCAAACGTAGTTACAATTTTATATCGTCACCGTCAAAATAACTTTCTTCTGAAAGCAGTGCTGGAAAGCCGATACTGGAATAGCCTTCAGCTGGTCGGTTACAGCCACTTTTTTTACTGTCTGAAGATGAGTTCCCTTAAGGTGATTTTTCAACTTCGGGAAGATAAAAAAGTCACAACGTCTCAAAGTCATGAGACTAAGCAGGATGAGGAGAACAGGAATGTTTTTACTGGCCAAAAACTCGTTCATTGACATAGTTGTGTGATAAGGAGCATTATCGTAATGCAACACACAGTTCTTCTTGATCCGATGAATGATGGTGTGAGTCAAATTTAACTCTTCTCCGATCATTCTGACTGTCAACCAACGATCTGAAGGCACAAGATCCCGGATTTTGTCAATATTTTCTTGAAGAGGTCTTCCGCTTCGTGGTTCATCTTCAATCGACTTTCGCCCTTCTGAAAATACCTTAAGCCGCAGAAAACCCCAGGCTGTTGACAAAACACTATCTCCGGAGGCCTGTTTAGCAAGAGTTTCCGTTGCACTGTGCCAAAGTCTGAAGCAAAACCTGACACAGTGGTGTCTGTTGTTTGAAATTGATGTCGCTCATTTTAGAACACAGTAGAAAAATCTGTTACACAAAAAAAATCGCTGCGGACAACCAAATAACTCGAGCATGTTCAAACTTGTACTGAAGGCGAATCACATGTCCCCCTGTCTCCCCTCCAATCCCGGTGCCTCCAGTGCTGCCAGATCGAACGTTACGTTGCCAGTTTCATCACTTATTTAAAGACCTCATATTTATCTATGTTATCTATCATTCCAAAACATTTCACTCCTTATACAAAGTCTCTCAATTATTACCTTTTCGATGTTCAGGTTTTTGTTGCTAAACAACAACACTGATAACTGTGACACAAGGCTACATTCTCTCACCAATGTCATTCGTCGAACATTTGATCTAGTCTCATTTAAATACAGTAAAAATTCGCTTGGGAAACAATTCCTTTTGTAATTCACACTCTCCTGTGTTATAGTAGCCTTGTGGTTATTTCTGAAAAATAAGTTCAGTAACTACGTATTTTGGAGCTCATTATTTGATACTACTGAAAAGCATGACATAGTGGTCCACAAAACTGTATGGACTGCTCGCACACACAATGAATAAAAGTTACAGAAACCATAACAATAAAAAATAAATAAATGGCAAATAGAAACTGTTGTACCTTGTTAGCAAAACATTCACATTTTGCTTCAACCTATTTTTCACAATATCCCAGTTCCTGTGTTGCAAAATATTACCGATTCCCGACAAAATAACTGCTTTTACCAATTCGTCATTATCTGAATAGTCATCAGCAATTGGCATTACATCATAAAGACCATTAAAGAGGTAGTCAAAATGAATCTTTCGAAGTTCTGAAAAAATCAGGGCGTAAATTATGCTCCAATACACACAAGCATATAAATGTGATAAAGATAAAATATTCTCAAGTTAACTGTATGTATCCAGATCGTAGAACATTAAATCCACCCCATGGTTCAAACGGTATTCAGAAAATAAAGGGAATTTTCATTTTTTGTATAACATATTTATTCGTCTCCATTAAAAGATACACGGAACCATATCTGGCGAATATGGAGGCTGGGAAGTCATTACAGTATTGTTTCTGGCTAAAAATTCACGAACAAGCAATGAAGTATGAGCAGGTGTATTATCATGAGGTAAAAGCTTTGAATTGTTTTTCCACAAATCCGGACATTTTTTCCGGATAGCTTCACGCAAACGACGTTGAACTTATAGGTAGTACTTCTTATTGACCGTTTGACCTCGTGGCGAGAATCCATTATGAACTATGCCATTGAAATCGAAGAACACAGTGAGCATAACCATCACGTTTGACTTGTCGAGACTTTTTCGGTTTTGGCACGCCAGGATGCCTCCTACGACTGAGCCTTAGTTTCGACATCATACCCATAAACCCATGTTTCATCACCTGTTATGAAACATTTCAGTAATTCTGCAACGTCATTAACTTCATTTAGTATCCATTCGCTACTATTTTCGTTCAATTTTGAAACAAATTTTGCTGTCACGTGTTTCATACCCAAAACATTCGAAAACATTTCTTGGCATGCACCATTCGGTTGCCAGCATCACCAGCGATTTATCTGATTGTGATAACCATTTCTTTCACTTTTTCCGCGTATTAATAATAATAATATCCATATTGACACGAAATTACATTAGATTAATCAAAATGAAATAAATGCCTATAAGCTAAAAAATTCTTAGACGACGTAAAAGCATTTGTCAAATACAAAATGTTTCAAGCCTTTTTTAAAGCTGATAACGGACTGCACTTAATATCTTAGGGAAGCCTATTAAAATTTCTAGGTCCTTACACATTTGGTGACTTTTTAAAAGAATTATACTTCGCGAACGGTATATGCAGATGGGTGTTTTGCATAGTGTTGACTCCATGAAATTGGTTATTTAAAAGAAAATAAAAATAAAGAGAAGACTCATCGTTTGTCGATATACTGGGGCGTCCGCTATTTTCAACGTCTTCACGGCCAACTCGGAAATGCTTATATACCACTTCTAAACTCTTTTATACTCATAGCAGTCTCATCATACCCGTTTGTTTACACGCTTTGTTACGTTTTATTTCATTTTTTAACGCAAAATTTGATACAAATTCTTTGATCCATTTCTTTTCACAAACGTAAATCGCCGAGCTCATAAAAACACGTCTAACCTTAGCGGCTGCGACAGATAAAGTAAACAATGAATACAGCTGAAATTTTACCATGCTTCAGGGCATGTATACCAACATAATAAAAAAATGAGGCCATCAGATTCTTCAAACCCTCGAAATTTAAAAATTCCCGCTATTTTCTGAACACACCTCGTATATAGATTTGGCATAATTTTGACTAACATCTTTACCAACAACTATCTGTTGACATCAGTAAACCCTATTGTTGTCGACATATCATTAAGTTGGCTATAATGCCACTGATATGTCTGTTATCTGTATCCTGTACCTTTTCTTGATATAAACTTAATAAAATGTCATGTACATATGATATGTGAATGATACTCACTTTCTATCGTTTTCATTCTATGAGGCACCAAATTCAACCGTTTACAAAACATTCTCAGTCCAGTTTCATTGTTGGCGTCAGAAAATTCCAAAAACTTTTCAAAAATTCTCATCATCGCAAGATGATCACTGGAGCTGCAAAAATCGCTCTTTGTAGCTTTGATGTTCTCCTTGTTCATCAAACCTGACGAAAATAACTCTGTTTCAGATGAGAAGAGAGTGACTATGTCCACGACGGGTGTGACACATTTAAAAATGACTGCGTTTACCATGGCTTTGGAGAAACTTGGTTCAAGCTGGAATTCTGCTAAGGTTTTGCCTGGAAGATTTAGTCAATGAATAAATATAGACAATATCGAACCTTAAGGTATTGTATTTCTACTATTATAGTAGCATCATAAAACGTTTTGGGATCCCTACTCACCCAAAGATGTCAAATTTTCATTTTCATCTAAGAGTTCCAAATCTTTAAGATCTTCCACGGCTCTAAGTGTGGCATTTTCTTCTGGCGGAGTTGGAAGTTTCACCATGAACTCCAAAGCATTCATATTATTGCTGCATACCTAGGAATGTGACAAAAAATATTTTTCGCTGTACAAAAAGAGGCGGTCCATTTTATAGAACTCGGACATCCATCGAAACCGGATGAGCTCTAGGACACTTTTTGTTCGTCAAGGTACAGTACTGTGTTTTGGAAGCATTAAATTGTACAAAACTGTTGCGCCCTCAGGCAGTGATAACCTCCAGGTTTCTCGTCAGGGAGGAAGTCGTCGCTAGGCTCCTTTTTTCCAGCTCAGCGGCAGAGATCGGCTTGTCGCTCTTCTGAATTCCAGCTTGTAGAGTGCTGTCATCAGCAAAGCTGTGGATTGGGTTGATCGTACGGGAATGCAGGTCGTTGATATGTCAGAGGAACAGTGTGGGAGCCAAGACTGATCCATGGGGAACACTTGCGTTGTGTGATGAAGAGGAGAACCCTCAACTACGACGGATATCGTGCGGCCAGAGAGAAAGACAGTCACCCATCTGGGAGGCCATAGGATGGAAGTTTGCATAAGAGGGCAACATGCCACAGCTGATCGAATGCTTTCGTGATATCAAGAGCAACGACATACGCCTCACCATAAGACTGGATGACTTTACTCCACAATTGCGCGGGGGTCGGTCTTAGATCATTTTTTAGGATTGATTGGACATGAGCAAATTTCCAGCTTTTTGTTGATATCGAGCGACAAGAGCACCCGTCCAGGGTATTATGCCTGAATGTTACTTCCCACATAGTGCAGGGATCCCTTTACATCGACGGCACATGGGCGTTGATCTTACAGGAATGGAGGTGTTGGCAGCAAAGATGTTGGTAAGCACTTCCCCTTTGGCCTTTGAGTCGGTTACAATCATTCCATCCTGACACGTAAGCGGTGGCAGGCTACTGTGCGAAGTTTCTTTCAATCTGCTTAGCCAGCGCCCAAAAAGGCCGCCTACCATTGCGCTGCGACATTACCATGTGGCTAAATGGCATGCTTATTGGAGCCTACTTTTTTCCACCTCGACTTACCGGTGAAATTTATTTAGATTTTCTCCAGAAGTTCATGAACATCTAAATAATGAGTTTCCGAATAGATAGATAGGGCGCAATGGACCTACTTCCTGGCCTGCTCACTACCCGGATTTAACGCCTTGCGATTTTCTGTGGGTCTATTTGAAAGAGTTGGTGCATCAGGATGGATCAGTAAATACTCTGCAAGAACTTCAACAGCGTACTGAAAATACTTTGATTTATACTAGGATTTTATTTTCGAAGCTTATAAAGAGTCGTGGATTCGAAGAGCAGGATTTTGCGTTAATCGAACAAATGGGGACAATTTTGAACAGTTTTTATAAAAATGGTATCCATTTAACTTGATGATTTTTTTTAATAAATTTTAGTAATGTAAACTAACTCTCTTATTATGCAACTTTTATATAGGTGATTTTTTTGTATATCAACTTCTTTTGACGAGTTCTACAAGCTGTTAAAATAAGTAACTCAACTTTGAAAATACCCTGTACATACAGATTCGGCAAAATGACAATTCCTTGTTCTCATAACAGCAGATTTGTCTGAACTGGTAAAACTTGTACTATATTTAGTACTACAGGCTATCTAGGTTAACATATGAATGGTTTACAAATGTTCAACCTACTGAAATTGGAAATAAAGATTTGCCACAATCTAAAGACATTTGAGAATCTCGTAAAAGACTATTTAATTGAAAATAGCTTTTATAGTGTGGAAGAATATTATGATATAAGCCGTTAAATCTTATTTATTATTCAACTGTCTGTTGTTAGATATAGGCTTTTAGATTCAAGTTCAAAATTCCTATTCCCTTACGATGTTTCTGTCGCTGGGAAATAAATAAGTAAATAAATAAATAAACATAAATCTCCTAAGCATCGCATACCTTCGAATCCAACACGATCTTAGTAAGACTAGTCCTCATAATCTCCGGCATGGAATAGTCTTCAAACTCCTTATACTTCTCCTTTGTATACATATGGTAACTCTCCCCTGGCTGCACCCTACCCGCACGTCCTTTACGCTGTATAGCGCTAGCCTTAGAAATCCAATAATTGTCTATGCAATTCACGCCTTTCTCAACATCGAATCTTTGCTCTTTGTGAATGCCCGAATCGACTACGTAGACTACGTCGTCAACTGTTACTGAGGTTTCGGCGATATTTGTGGCTAGGATGATTTTTCTAACGCCTGGTGGGGGACGGGAGAAGATTTTCCATTGCTCGGAATCTTGGAGTCTGAAAAAATGTCAAAGATCAAACTGCATCCAACTCGGCATAAAAACACCGAACATTTTCATATTACTTATCGACAGATCAGTAAATTCTTTCATAGCGAAATGAAACTTTGTAAGATATTTTTCCATGAAACGGCTTTTTACTTCCCATGTCAATAGGGTACTTACACAAAAAGAAGATATGTTGTCGAAATACAGAAATATTCTTTTAAGCGGCTTATGCAAGTTATTTCAAAAATTATTTTAAATAAGGTAAAATTGCGCGAAAACATCTTCTGGTGTTATTAATATAGTGAGGCGATGTGAAATGCTAGGTCGATAGGACATGGATTTCAACAGTCAAATTCGGTCTCGAACTCACTAAAATGATATTTGGCAGACGCAGTAATGGTCGGAACTGAATCCGAAATGAATCATGACATTATGTCGATTTTTTTTACATTATATTGTTTTTTTTTTGTGACATTATGTAGGTTTTTCTACATGATGTTAACTTAGCACTAGCTGATGGACACGTGTTGTGAACTCGTTTTGTAGTTGTACGTGTTGCCTAAACGTCACGAGGCTTCAGTTATCAATGTTTGGCTCAGATGTGATGTAAAATGTGCTTCAGAGATGGCATTATTGGAGGTCTAAGCTGTAAGTTGTATACTATAGCTTTAGAAGAAAACCGCAGTGCATAGGTGAATAGTAAGGATTTGTGTGCTAATAATATGTGTTGCTGATAATTCCATTGGTTTTATTGTCTCAAATACACTTACTTGAGATTAAGAGCTAGACGTTAGCTGAGCATCCACTTTTTCTTATTCATTTTGGAAATTACATATGCTAATTTGCTGAATTTCAAAAATGAGAGATAAGAAAAGAAAAATCCCTGGTTGGTGAAGGAACAAGAAAATAGGCTACAGACAGGAATGTTTATGAAAGTGAAAAGGTTATTACATTATTTTTTACTTCCAGTCATTTAAATATTTAGAAATTTATTTTGCGATGTCAATAGAAAATACAAACCAGCGCCTAGATGTTTGATGTGTCATGCGTCATTCCTAATTTTTCTGTGATGTAGCTTAATTGCACACAACGCGAGCGCGGTGGCGATTTTCCCACTCCTCAATGTTTTTGAAAAAAAAAAACGGGAAAAATCGTAATTTATAACTTCCCGTCAGGCTCAGCTCAGAGATAAACGCTACAGACTACTGGGCTTCACAAAACATGTACTTGCTTTCTGCAACCAACAATGCGTGTAGTTGTTTAGATAATAGCCATTTATTGCCATAAACGCTTAAGCTCGCAGCGAGTGCACGGAGTGTGGACTAGCGACTAGCTAGTACGCAACCTAACATAATGCAGATTTTTTAATGCGATTATATCGTTAAGTTTGACTTACGTAATACCCATGCGGGTAATTTTGGTTATATTCTGGGGCGTTTAACCCAGGCCCGTATTTTTTAAATCGGTGATGAAACTTATATACTCGTACGTGTTACAAAAATTTGGTACTTTTGAAATTCTAGGCGATAATTATCGCCTATCGTCATGGCCTCATGGCAACCAATTTGTAACATACACCGAATTCTGGACAAAATTCCAATTTTTATTGTTTTTTTCATCTCATGAAACGCTCTTACTTGTTTTAGAATTAACCTAGACGCATCCTAAGTACAAAAATGAGGAAATGGATCGCTTTATGTACCGCGACATATTACAGAATACTATGTTACCTTATGCCGAAGAAGAAATGCCGTTGTTGTGGAGATATCAAAAAGATAACGACCCGAAACATTCATCCCATTTAGTAAAAAATTGTTTTTTTTTATACTCCAACTACCACGAAGGCCTAAGGCGTAAGCACCCATTGGGTACCGTGGGGCTATAGGGTGATACATGGGAGGGGGGGGGACGCCACACGGACTCTGGCGAGGGAACACGTGTGCATGCAACATGTACACATTCTGGCTCCGCCTACGAGAACCGCCGGGTGGTACCTCCGCGTTCGACAGTCAGAGACCACCTAGCACCTACGGACAATCACAACATCCATAGCCAAGAGAAAAATTTCTCCTGGGACGGGACTCGAACCCGCACAGAGCACGGCGACTGATCAGGAGACCGAAGAGTCTACTACTGCGGCCACCGCTGCTGCCTGATCCCATTTAGTAAAAAATTGGTTTTTAGATAAGAGCGTTGATTTACTGGAATGGCCTTCACAATCCCCCGACCTCAATACAATTGAGCACCTTTGGGAGCACAAGTTCTACAAGATGAATGGCGGAAGATTCCATTTGATGTGTGTCGAAATCTTGTTGATTCCATGCCAAGAAGGCAGGCAGCAGCGGTGGCCGCAGTAGTAGACTCTTCGGTCTCCTGATCAGTCGCCGTGCGCTGTGCGGGTTCGAGTCCCGTCCCAGGAGAAATTTTTCTCTTGGCTATGGATGTTGTGATTGTCCGTAGGTGGTAGACGGTCTCTGACTGTCGAACGCGGAGGTACCATCCCGCGGATCTCGTAGGCGGATCCAGAATGTGTGCATGTTGCATGCACACGTGTTCCCTCGCTAGAGTCCGTGTGGCGTCCCCCCTTTCCCCTGTATCCCCCTATAGCCCCACGATACCCAATGGGTGTTTAGGCCTTAGGCCTTCGTGGTAGTTGGAGTATATATAAAAAAAAAGAAGATCTAGGGAACTCATAAGGCGAAAGGATTTTAAACAAAATACTGAACATTGCTTGTTTAATTTGTATGTTTAACTTTTTTTTTTAATAAAAATATATTCTTTCCATACTTTTTCCAAAGGTTTTCTTTATTTATCATATATGGGACTTGGTTTTATTTTGTATTTTCATTTGTTTCTAAAATGTTACTAGGTTAGTAGTGGATGTTTATTTTTTAGTACGTAATTATTATTGATTAAAAAATAAGAGTATAACCAAAAAACATATCTTTCCATACTTTTGTCCGCGACTGTATGTGCAGTATCACTGTCACTTGATAAAGAAATGTTTTGTACTGTAGTGTTTATGCCCTAAGCATAAGAGAATGTTTATCGATACATTCATATAAACATAATGCAAAATATCGATTCTGGATGCATGGGAGTTTCCCCCGTGCCATATAGAAAAACTGATAACATTCCTCCAATCAGATTATTATAGCTTATTCAAAGGATTGTTAAAATATGTACTATATGATAAAGGTTATTTTGTTTTCAATATCAAATGCAAAGACTGACGAGTTAGCCCAAGATTTCCATGAAATATATGGATAAACTATTTTCTTTTAGCGCCAAAAAATTTGAAATCTGAAATTTTTCATATTTCATTTATCACAAATTATGCTTAAAATATTCATGTATTTAAACTTTAAAAATGTTTTATACCACAGTATGGGAAGTACTGGAACAACCTGCTAGACTCACTTTTATTAGACATAATAAGCATATAAGTGACTCTCACCTAGAATGCAAGCAGTACGTCACTAAATCGTTCCTCTCTGGAATCATTCTATATACTTTAGTAATGTCCTCCCATCCTGGTAAAAAGCAAAGTATGGCACCTTCAGGTTTTTTGTCACAGATATATTTAATCACTTTAACAACATCCTCGTGAACCAAGTTTGGGCTTTTGTCTTCACACATATCTATCGTTTTGTGTACTTCAAGCTTGCAATCATCCATAAAATGCTGAAAACTCAACCGTATTATTATCGTTGACCATCGTATACCACCAGATGATACCCAATCCAAATAAAGTCTAGCCTGCGCTAAAATAAGCATACGTACCGTGTAAAGATACAGAATAAAAAATAAGCGTTTACCATCGATGCACATCAATGACATTTAATACTATTTTTAACTTCCAAATATAATAAAACACTAAAAATTGAAATAATCTTGATTCAGATATGTACATCAAACATGTGTATTATTATATTTAGAATATTTAGATCATTAAGTTCATTTCTTTTAGAGACTCAGACATCGATGCTTATCTTCACGATATTTACATCTCAAGTACAGTAGCGCCTCCAACTACTTTTGCTTACAACTCTGTAGGACATCCAAAAATAACAGAAAAAGTTCCTATAAACCAAGAATGCTCAACATTTTTAGCAATTGACCATTTTAGTCACTCTAAGAACTTGTGCGAGATTAAATACAAATATTTGATTAGTTTTATGTAAAATTACAATACAAAGAGCATATTATGCCAAATTGAAAACAAAACAAGAACAAAACAAAATTGAACAAACGTGTCTGATATCCAAACCTAAGGTAGGTAAGGTGATAAGGTTTTTATTTGTTTAAGCAAAAACGATGCATCAGAATGAATAAAATCAAGAGATCAAATTTGATTAGAGATTATTGGAGATTTCAAGAACAATTTTTATTTTGAGAGAAATCAGATATTAATAATAAATTATTAATTTCTGAAAACATTACCATATTATAACTCAAAAGTTTAGGGCATACATTCAGATTAAATTTTCTTCTTATAATCGACGCACCAACAGTCTCCCCGTTAAATATTAACATTGGATCATGTAACATCCTGTATATATTTTTTTCGATTTCGAGATTATAAGTTTATACGAACTTCTCGTGTTATTTTTTGTTCTCTAGAAATTCTGCTAATGTTTCCTGAATCACACTGTATACGCGTACAACAAAATCTTTAGGTGTCAGTGTTGCCACGTCTCAAACTGTTGCCGCAGGTTATGGAATTTCCATTGAGGAATTCCGTGAATACAAAACCTTAAGAATAATTATCCTCCATTGCAATTATACTTGGCAACATGGATGTAACGATAAAAATTGTATGTGAACGTCCAAATATAGTTGGACTTCTTCTTGGAAATATGTTAATCATTGAACAAAAAAAGATCGTGACAAGTGGCGTTGTTCATCGGCGAAGCAATAGTGGCAACCCTTAGATCACCACATTCACCGAAAAGATCTCTCTTCTGACACCTGTCACACACGAAAGCTAATGTAACAACTGAAACTTATTATGTGGCTTGCATGCTGGGGTGTGCTTGTAAATCACTTGGTTATGTAATACCGAACTGGGGTGTGGATTGACAGATGAAATTTTACTCTGGAATACTGTTAAACTTATTTTTAGAACGCCTAAATTGTTACAGAGTCATGTAATGACACTATGACAACTGACTAATTCCTAACCACGCTTTCTGGGACCATTGTATTATAAGAAACACTGTGGGACAGGTTAACCCAAATATCATAAAAAATATATATATTCTGCCGATTTGAAGTACAAATAAAGCAAACAAACAATGAACCATGAAAATGTCAAGTAACAACACTTTTATTCCTAAGGTTTTGAGCACAGGAAGAGAAGCGCACTTTTGACGTTCCAGAACGATTGCTTTGTTCTAATTCCAAACGCATGGAACAGGTACGTCAAACAATATATGGATGCCGCCCTGACAGACCTCTATTATTTTCGGGCCAAATGAAACGTCATACAGTAATGGACAAAAGTATATAGACAAATTAATATTGTGCTGTATTTCTTTTTTAACTTGTTTTATTAATACACCAACCTGTATACATAATTCGTTATAGCATAAACAATTAAAAAAAACTGGAACTATGAAGAACAAAAATATATAGACAAAGAAAAACAATTATAGAAAAAAGAAGCAAAGTTCATTAAATTATAGAAAACCAACCTTGTTTGAATAATTTTTATCTCGTATTTGCTTATCTAAGTATTCCCATAGATTTTCAGTGGGGTTAATATCCGGAGACTGTGAAGGCCATTTGAGAACTGGTATTTTTTCATCCAGAAAGAATTTCTTTGCGAGATTTGAAGTGTGCTTCGGGTCATTATCTTGCTGGAAGATTGATCTTAAGGGCATATTGTCTTCCATATAGGGTAACATGATATGCTTTAGTATGTCTGTGTATAAAAACTTATCCATAATTCCATCTATTCTATGTAAAGGTCCCATCCCAAACCCCGAAAAGCACCCCCAAACCATAACAGACCCGCCTCCACGTTTGACAGTGGGAAAAGTGTACTTGGGATTCAATCTTTGTCCACTAGGACGTCTAACGTAATGAACACCATCTGATCCAAACATATTGAACTTGGATTCGTCACTGATACATACCCTCTTCCAGTCACAGATGCTCCAATCAAGATGCAACCGAGCAAATTGTAATCGGTCCTTACGGTTTTTCCTCGAGATTAGCAACTTCTTACTCGGGCGACGTGCAAATAACTTCAAATCATTTAATCTTCTACATATAGTTTTCGTAGAAACACTGACATTTCCTTTTGTCTCTATTTAGGCTTTTATTTGTCTTGGCGTTTTAAACGGATCTTTGGACGGAATTACTTTTATTAATCTAACTGATCTAGCATTTAGTTTTCTAGACCGACCACTTCTCTTAGAGGCTTCCAAGATACCTTGTTGTTTATATTTGTTCAATATTGCCCAAACTGCTTTACGCTTCAGCTTAAAATTTTTGGCAATGTCGACTTGACGTTGACCATCTTTGTATAACTCAATGATCTTAGTTTTCACATCGAAATAAATTTCTGGACTACGCGGCATGGTCTTAAAATCACTCATCTTATTCCAGAATACTTGATGAACACAAACTAATCCTCTTCTGTCACGAAACTGTACTAAACTAATTTTGAAAAGAATTTGTCTACATATTTTTGTCCCTCATAAAAAAGTGCTTATATTCAGACTTGCATTGTGTTCAATGCAGATAATGTAAAAACAAGGAATTTAGTTTTTCTACTAATAACGCATTTGTTTATGGAGCAATGAAGTATGAATTCGTTTTCTAAAGGTATTTAGGTGAATATTCATATTTGTCTATATACTTTTGTCCATTACTGTATATCTAAACTACTTTATGCTGACATTTCGGCCACCAGGGTTGCTCTTTTTCAACGCAGAATTATTGACAATGACAAAACATTTCTTCCAGGTGACGGTTCACTTGTTTTTTTTTCTTTCCTACTAGTGATATAGGGTTTACGCTCGCGCGAAAAACATAACCCTCCTTCTGAGGTAGGCAAATAAAAACAAATGAACTGTCAGCTGGAAGACATAAATGTGAACTGCAATCTCACTGTCATTAATTTGTACAAAAAAAGACAAAAGAGTCGTGCGGAAACTTAGATAAAAACAAAGTTCAATCGTGAGGATCTCAGCAGTAAAGGAGCAGGAGCAGAAATGGAAGGTTTGGTCACCCGAGCGACGTACGTTTCCGCTTATCGGATGCCTCAGGCCCAAATGGATGTGCATCGAAAATACCAAAGTGAAAACATATGCCCATCACACCTGGATATGGTGTAACCTGAAGGGAAGCAAGGATGGAAAAGGAAATACAACTAGAAGCCGCTAACAAAAGCCACCAGGCACATTTGTACAGTGCTGATTACAACGTCAGTAACAATTAATTTACACCTATATACGTGGTTTCATTTGGCCAAACAATGATGGAGTTCAAACGTAAGCTAGTTCTAGTTCACACATCATATGTATTTCGTATATCTTACCTGTTTGACAGGATACGTGAACCCAGGTATATCAATCACAGGCGCTCCCCCAAAATATTTGCTGAACATTGACGTATCAATAGTGGCACTCATAACAACAACTTTCAACTTAGGATTTTTCTGCACTGCACCCCTTAGGAGATTCATCAACAAATCAGTGTTGACGTCTCGCTCATGGGCCTCGTCTAAAATGACGTGCGTGAAATTTGTTAGATTGGGGTCGGATTGAAAGTGACGTAGGAGAATGCCAGTTGTGCAGTAGAGGATGCGACCTGTGGTAGGTTCGAATTTTGAGTTTAAGCGAACTTGGTAACCTACTATACTGCCCACCTGAAAAAAAATTGTAACTAATAAAATTTACAATGTTACTATTCACATGAAAAAATAAATAAAGAGTTTAATCGAGTCGAACGTTTTTGACAATAAGGCATCTGATCGCACCAAGCGACCCATATTTCTATTTAAATTTTACTCCTAGGTATTTTATTAAAGATTGCTTCGCGACCATTGTGTAGCACAGTGCAGTACCGGAAACAGATAATCAAATTTTCGCGAAGAACGGAAATCGGGGAAGACGGATGTAACGTCATTCAAATGTCAAAAAATCAGGTGGTATGATTAACCGCCTAACGTAGGTGATGTACTAGAGGGTTACAGGTCTTATGTTAACGACATTTAAAAAAAACAGATACCTCAATCATAAATCAAGTGCGTATTTTTTTAATTCACTATTTTTTGACGAGCATATTCGCATCAGCGCCCCCGATCTATCTAATGCCCACTTGCACCGCCTTGCTAAGGTCGACTTTTAAGTACACCTGTTCCAAAAATTCGATATTTTCTGTTGCACCAGATAAACTACCATTAGGATTCCTTATTGAAATACATTATGAAACCAAACCTGTCATAAATTGCGATAGATTTCCATGAGTAATATCATAAGGACATTTAATTTTTCCGAAAAAACATGTTGCTAAACAATATTTTAACAAGAAGCATTAGTGCTGGTGTCAAAAAGAGTGGTAGACGAATATTTTTCATTAAAATAATATTACTTTTTCACAGGAAACAAATTAGACGCCCGAATGATATTTGACAAGACTATTTCATGAGATTATTCATAAAATCCTAAAATACATCTGTTGCATTTTTTGCAACGGTATTCAACATTGTCTTCACAACTAGTTCTTTGTATTTTCACCGTTTTATTTCTTCATATTCCACGCCCAATCTTTCAGGATTAGGATTTGCTCTAAAGTTGTAGTTTCCAAAAGATCGTATTTCTTTGCCATGCAGAATTCTATAAATTGTTTCCATGTTGACTATGGGTTTTAGCGGTATTGTTCTGTACACTTTTCTCAATCGCCAGATCACTATTAGTCAAAGAATCACTTCCAAAGCGACTCATTTTCACTACATAAGCTGACTAGCACTGTTTAAAAACAAGATTACAAAATTTATTGACAATAAAATCAGAAAAATCGTTAGCGTCATTTTCTGTTGTTCTACTTGTTATCAAAAATATTGTGACTTTTGGTGACAACAGCTGTCAAGTTTTGCCGCTGGAAAAAACTGCTGACAGGTGCTGTCATACAATTTTTCCATCTAGAAACCATTTGTAATTTAAAATTGTGATTGGTAGAAATTAAAGCGAGGGAAATAGTAAGACATATAACCAAGTCAACCAACAGATTTTTATTATAAGTTAGTATGGATACACTGTGGTCAGGTGTTACTTCTTTTTGGTTAAGTTTTTTCCAAATCGGAGCTGCGCATCAGAAACTTAATTTGAGGTCGAAATTACATGCGGATCACCTTTCCTAAGCGGTAGATTTGAGACAGGCAGTACAACCGGGCAGATTCAATTGATCGAAACAAAAATGATCAATTTAGTGTAAATAAAGTATTATTTGTTGTTACTTACTTGATCTAAGAGAAACTTACCCGTTCGTCTCGTTCGCTAGCCACCCTCTCAGCCAATGAAATTGCGGCTATTCTCCTTGGTTGAGTAACAGCTATTCTTCCTGGGTTGCCAGAAAGCCCTTCATCTGTTGCCCATGCTTCCAGAACATACTGTGGTACTCTTGTACTTTTGCCACAACCGGGTTCTCCTTTGACTATTATTACCTGATTTGACTTTAAAAGATCAATGAAGTCTTCCCTATTGAACAAATAAATAAACACATTTACTTTCCATACGACTCTACGATGATAATATCGGAATTGTCACCAAGGAAGATATTTAGCTGCTTCGCTAATAGTCTCTTGTCATGTATGAGATAAAAAATCAGTATAAAAAACAAACAATACATAAAATTTTACAAACAACGAAAATACACGTTTAATAGAAAATCGTGCCCGACAAAATACAAATTATAAGCATCAGTGGTAAATGAATAAATCACATAGGTTATTCAAAAACACTGTTAAATTAATCCGAAACGCTATAGCAGGGATTGTTAACATAATGATCTTAACCTTTGCCTTTAAATAGATGTAAGTTGATTATACCCTTTATGGGATTTCGTAAGTGGTTATAGAGCCGTACTGCCGCAACTGGTGGACCTTTGGACATCAATGATGTCCTATGGTGAGGTACAACTATGCCGTGTGACTGACGCAGTCCGTAGCACTTAATTTTTTTCTATTGATATGAAGAGCTACAAAATTTTCTTACAATAAATTAGGCAACTATACGTATATAAAGAGTGAACTGACATTATCCCCAATTGTTTGAATAATTCTTTATAAGATTAACGCCGACATTTGAAAAACGTTCTCCTCAATGCTTTCTTCTGCCTTCTCAGTAGCTAAGTGTTAAATGAACATAGGAAAAGTAATACAGCTTTACAATACCAATGTTAACAAAATTTCGTAGGTGAAATATCACATAACAGAACTTTGATAGCTTATTCAAGATATTATCTAGCTGTTTATTCCAATTCAAGTACTCGTGAAATTGTACACCCAAATAATTCAAATCTAGGTACTGGCACACACTTTTCTCGTTACATTCAAACAGAGTGCTATTGTATTGTTTTGTTGTATTGTAAGGCAACCATCGCTGTTTTAGAGAAATTAAAAACAGTTACTGATGCAATAGGATGACACTACCTGTGCTTTATTGGTTGCTAAAGCAGATAGATCGGTAATAGTAAGGACTTAACAGTGTAAGCAGTGTTATCTTCGTATAACGCTATATCTGTATCTGAACACATTACCACGAAAACATTGATGAAAAGTATATATAGTAGCGGACATAATGCACTGCCCTGACGAAAGGTGTACTAAAACAGAAAGGTATATATTTTAAAAAGTGATCATGGATCCATTGTAACCATGTAACTTATTCCGACCTATCAAGATGATGAATGTTCTACCTACATCCCTGATTATTTTAGTTGCATCACTTTTTGGTTGCTTTTGAATCCCCAACAAGGTAAGACGAAGTCAAGTTTGAGGGAGGTATACATTTTTTAGTCATAATACTGGTACTACAGGCCCTTAAAAACCCAGTCAAAAATCCAATCAAAATCTAGTAATTAGACCAATGATTAAATTACGATTACTCTGTCGCAACTAGATCTACTAACAAAAAATAAATAATTTTTCTAATAGCTGAAAATCGTTCTTTCGCGGCTACAGTACCTCCCTAGCCTATTGACTTGACTGAAAAAATGAGCATCTTTTATGAATTTTGAGAGAGATGTACGGCCAAAAATTTGCAAAAATCATATAGCTCAGAAATGACGAATTTTAGACCTGGTTATATAAAATTTGCGGTATAGCAAAACTTTGTGACATATCTCACGTATTGCTTCAAAGTATTGCAAAGGACTAAATTATCACTTAAAAAAGGATCTCACGCAAATGCAAATATTTCAAAGAAGTAGTCCTAATCGATTTCTATATCTATATGAATTCTTAACCCATCATGGAAGACTTTGAATCAATGGATAAGACATTGAAGTCCAAACAAAAAGAAACATATCAAGCATAGTAAAGCAGATATAATTTATGGAACTTCCACCAAAAATTTTTGTAGCTGCTCCCCTTTCTGTTTCAACCTGGGTAGGCCCTTGCCAGCAACCGTTGTTAAGTTGGTCGGATTTCTGTTGCTTTGGAAAGAATGCTTGTATCCAAATACATGTGCCAAATAGAGTTGTGGTTGCCACTTGTTCTCAGTGAGAACAGTCGCTAAGAAATTGCTTAATTCAATCTTAATATGACGAATTAAATCTCTCTATGTGATTTGTTCAGATTATCTGCTCGTCTATATGTCACTAATAATAAACATGATGTCGGGTCTAATAATACTCACTTGTATTTTGCTATTGGAAGCTTAACCTTCTCTTTCGTTTTATATTGATCCAATCCTAGATATCTCATTTCCTTAACACCCCTAAAACTAACTTCCCCAGCCTCCGCCAATGGCCCGTCTTCTCCCTCTTCTACTTTCACATCATTCTCACCCATCTCACGACCATCCATTATATGCTCTATCATCTTACTCTGATGGATATTAACAATCTTTTGCATATCTCCAATTGTCTCATCATCTAATGTCAATTTTGGTAAAACTTTCTTTGTTGCAACTTTCACTTCTTCTTCGTCATATATCATCGGACTTCCCTGACTGCTGATTTTGTTGTTCTTTTTCAACCATGCCAAAGCAGCTAAAGCAGCCTTATTTGATGCCTTGGCCTTTGTGGTGTCTTTTGCAACAAATTTTGTCTCCACTGGCCAGTAGATGTGATAGCAACATAACCATGCCGATGAGTTTTTGGACTTTATACTTCTATAGGTAGGAGTGACTTTGTAGTTTCTTCTTTTAAACTCATTTGATACCAAGTCATACATATTATGGAGAACAACTTTCGGAAAAGTTTTATGTGCATACAATTTTACAATATCATCTGTTATATCTGTTTCATTGTAATATATTTCTTTGGGCTGTAAGTTAATAAAGTACAGTAAGAACTCTTAAGTTTAATTTCACTAGATCTTATACAAGATTCTTTCAAACAGCAACTACATGATATCATCACATGCGATTTTCTGATACACCTACCATCAGTAAATACTGATGGTAAATACTGTCAAAGTGACATTAGTCTAAATGCCAGCATTCACTGTCATTTTGAAAGGTGTTTCAGAAAGACATGCCAATATTTCTAGGGTAGAAAGTACATCAAAAAATAATAACTTCATCAGCAATAAACACAAACAGCCCATGCCAGAGTCGAAGAAACTGCAGTTGCTGGACCCCTAACGGTAAATATTTTCTATGTCACTAACCTAAATATCTCCAAAAGGCGTGATCTGACAAAAAATCATTAAAAGACAAAATTCATGGAAATCTGAATGGTAATTTATAAAATGCTCTTCTTTTCTCCGAAAAGGCCAGTGGCGTGGAAAATATTTCCTACTAAGGGTCCAGGTACCCCATGTCCCTAGTTTAGTTAGTTCCAGGAAACTCTGTGTTTATTACTTATGATGTGCTCACTGAACATCTAAAATCTTAGATTTACCCTCTCCATAGGCATAATTTTTTTCAGTTTCTTAAATTACAGTTCATCACCCTGTACCTTAGTAGGGGAGCATCTTTGGACCAATATTTATGAAAACTTTTTATGTAACTTTTGTTGTACTTTCTACCCTAGTAATATTGAAACACCCTGAATATCTATACAACCATCCATTCCGACACCTAATAGTGATGATCTCAGACTATTTCAAATGTATATAATGCAGGATTGAAAAAAAAAGGTTTTTTTTGTTTAAAACTGTTTTTTCTTCATGTTTAAAACATTCAAATTTAGCTGAAAAAAATACGTTTAAAACACTGTTAATACATGCTTCAAACAGTAAAAAGAAATTTGTTGCACATTCTAGCCACCAGTGGCACTATATCCATATTGCAGGTTAAACATTTTTCTATTTTATTTATTTTCGAGGCTGCTTTGGCATCAGTTTCCTTATAATATTTCCAAACGGGATCCTTTTTTCTCCCTGACACTGCCTTTTTTTTTTTGCCGATCTTTAATGCACAAAAAACAAAACACACCACCACGCTACAACTTCGCACATTTGACTGCTGGAGATCGCAACGCGAAAAATTACCCAAAGGCAAACGATACTTCCCCGACGTATGCACGGTAGTTTCCCGACGTCAGCTTTTAAATTAGAGATGTGCTCTGATAAAGCTGGATCAAAAATAGTAATAACACTTTCAAGGAACTTCATTAACGTCGCTAGATTATAAGGAATAGTTTCTTAAATCTTTTTTACTGTTTTAAACATATATTAACAGTGTTTTAAACATGTTTTTTTCAGCTAAAATTGAATGTTTCAACCAAAAAAACAGTTTAAAAAAACATGATTTTTGTTTAAAAAATACCGTTTCTTTCAACCCTGTTAATTTTTAGTACCTATGTGTTTTAACCCTATGGCGCTTTTTGTTTCATTTTGCAAAATAAAATCAATTTTACTCGTACTTAAAAAAATATAAAAAACCTTGAATAATTCACAAACGACAAAAAAAACAGTGTTTCAAACATGTTTTAAACAGTTTAAAACCAATCGGTTTAAAACACTTGTTTTAAACATTTTGATTAAAACATAACACCCTGATATAATGACAGGACTTTATATTATGCCTTAAATTTGACACTGGATCGTGGTATTCATTATCCAGGCATTATATGCATAACAACCTCCTTAAAAGTACATTGTCAATGCCTGCCTGTAAGTAACAAAAAATGCAATCTGTTCTCTGTGTTAAAATTGTAATGCTTCTAGCATCCATCACTTAGTCTCCCCTTAACTGTGCCAACTTAAGAAAACTATTATCAGTTGCATAAAAAATTGACTGTACAGTGTTTATAGTTGATTTTATTCCAAAATGTATACAGATGATTCAAAAAACTAAAAAATGTCTGCCTTTATTGTTTCAAAAATTTGATGGCATGTTGGACTGTTATTCAAAGCACAGAGCATTTTTCAGGTAGTGATTACAAATTACTTCAATTCTGCAATGCACAAAATTAATGAAAAAAGTACCAAGTATATTTTTAAAATCCAAAACAAGCTATCACATAAAGTCAGCACTGTACAAATATGTCCCATTTTTATAATACAGGTATATTCTACCAGAACACAGTGAACCTCTAAAATTGAGGATTTTCTAAGAATAAAAAAAATAACACACTTGAAAAATATGGCACTGACCTCAGATTAGTATTTTAAGTATTATGTTTTACTGTTTATGTTACAAAAACCTCAAGATCTGACGATTTATATAATCTGCCTTATCAACAGGGGCTAGGTGCCAGAGGTGTTGCAGCCTTAACTCAAAAGCACATACATTAGATTCTGGTCTATGAAGTTACATTTTGAGCTAGAGACGTGATTGTATATACAGGGTGACTTCGAAGATGAGTCATTTATTTTAACAGTGAGTAGATCTGATCAAAAGAAATGTTTTTTTCCTTTACCATTTTTCTGGTAAAATTAAAGTAACAAAGTTATAGCCCTTTGGAAGTTTGAGTACCGCCCTGTCTCAATAACATCATGTGCTGGTGTTTGGCAACAACGGATATAATCCACCTTATCGGTTCATCGCATCGGAAACAAAAAAGCGAAAGAATTTGGAACGATGTTTACTTTATTCAGTTCAGTTATACATACAATCACTGTCAGTCGCGTGTGAATAGTATCTGTTGCGTGGCTCAAACGAAATAAAAAATGGCACATGTTTATGCGGATCGGTTTCCCAATCGAGTGCAACCAACCCCTCGTGCCTTTGTTAATAGTAGTACAACGGGCTCGTGAATCAGGTGACTTCAGACCTCACAGGAGACCTCACGATCAAATACAGGTCCGCACTGAAATACTTGTCGGGAGGATACTTTATAAAACAAGGTAAAATTTTTTTTTTTATTTTTACACACATATTTTGGTTTATCTTCCTTCTACAATCATTATCTGAAAATTAATGACTCAACTTCAAAGTCACCCTGTATATGTAGGCACCATTTTTATGCATCAAACGTTATCGTAGTCATTATTGAAATAGAAAGATTTTTGTTTAAATGACTTTATAGTTTACAACTTCAAGTGCTTTATATCGACCACAATCAGCACAAACTTACTAATTTTCATAATCTAATCTAAAACGTTTTTAATTTGGGTAATTAACAAATAAATGGCATTAAGTTTGAACAATGCCATTTTGACCCCCATGTTATATGAAACTTTTTGCTTCTTTTAAACCCCTCTATCACACATTTAAATAATGACTATCATAATGTTTACACCCTCTATACATTTACCGATCACACAGGAAAAAAGTATCTTACTGTTATTTCTTCAGAGTTACTGACTGAATCATTTTGCACATTTGCCTCTTCTTTAGTATTTGTTACACCACTTAATGAACTAGTGTTTGTACTGATGCTTCTTGAAGCTGGTGCGAGTTGCAAGTTGTTAATTGCAGTTCTTTTCGATGCTGCTGAAACTATATTAGAGCATTGCAACTGTGTGACAATTCTTTGAAAATGTAAGTCAACTTTGGGTCGTCCTCTTCGAGTTGAGGCTATTGTGTGGGTATTTTCATCTAGCTCCTTACTGAAGGCTTCTATCGATTGAATCAAATTTTCTAGTGCAGCACTCAATGCCATTTTATGTCTTGTCTGAAAAAAATAATGTGTTTATGTAATTCATATGCAATTAGAAATTTTCAGCTTACTAAGTGGATATGCCTAGTACGGTATGACATCTTCGCCAAACAATTTATATTTCTCAACATCATTGTTTTAGGATGTTTGCACGCTGTTCGGTGTTGGTACGGTGCTATAAAAAATTTCAAAACGTTTTGAATTTGAGGTTAGATTTTGACATTTAACCGGTGTGCTGCGATTGACATTTCGAAAGTCACAGAACACAAACTTGGAAGATACAGCTCACACAACAGACAAATGCGTCACAGATGCAAGTCACCTGCCGAACGTATCCATTTTCTAGGTTCGTTCAGATGCAGGGTATCCATAAAATTAGATGAGAATGTTAAATAAGCCGTTAAAATAATTTGTTAGAAAATCGAAGTGATAGGCTTGAAAAACAATTTATGATGATTTACATGTATACAATAGTATGAGCAAATACGAGCTACGTACATGTAATTCTGACATTTTTAATTTTACTCATGAACCAAATGTGGGAAAATAAAAACTTCTGATGGAAAATTGAAGTGATAGGATGGAAAACGATTCGTGTACTGATTTCCACGTAGCGTGAAGAAGTTTTGAGAGGTTTCAGTTGATTCGGACTATCTACCTTAATTTGTTATTTAAGATTTCTCCCACTAAAGGTGAAAAAAACGGAACCTTTTAATTCGTGGTATGATCGTGAGCATGATTCACCATATTTGAAAATGGCCGCTGAGTTAAAAAAAGTTCATTCATAATATATTCGTAATTAATAGGACAATTTCAAATTTGAAAAGCTCATTTAATTTACGTTTTTTCTAAAATCTTTTTTATTATCACACTCGCGTAAATAATCCAGCAGTTATTGAGATACACTAAATAATTTGTCAGTCAGCGCAGGTATAAAAAAGAGAAGAGACTGAGAACAGCGGTCGCCTGTTACCCACTTCATGCGTACAGGAGAGAGTGGCAGATGCGTTGGAGATTAGTCCGCTGAGTGTTCAGCGAATAAAACCAGAAAATAACACCAGGGGAAACTCACAAAATCAAAAAATGCAAGACCCGATTGTGTAAGACATGCCGTCAAAACAGAAATGAGGCATACTTTCTACGATATGAGAAGTAAAGGACAACATATCACGATCTCAGCGCTCAAGATGCGCCCATGGTACGAAGACTCGATCTGTTTACTTATTTCAAATGGCGTTGATGACGCAACTGTCAAGAACGGTGACTACAACTATACTTATTTACATAATACCATTTAAAGATATATTGAGCAAACTTCCGTACATTATCTGTGTTTAATAAATTATGGTATTATCCACTTCCTCACCATTAAATATTCCAAGCTAAGGAAATGGTGATAATATGCACTTACATTTTGCGTATTGGTTGGTATAACTCCTCCACTTTTATTCGTTGAAAACATTCAAAACAATGGAACAACTGTAATTTTTCTGTGGTAAAAGGTATAGTTCTGCACAAAATCCAGACCGTTAGTTTTCACAAAAAGAAGTTGTGTTTGTACTTTTTGTACATTTCCTGAACATTTCCCTCTTTTTTGTACCGGGTGATACCGACGATCATAGGCGAACGCTACACGCTCAATAATTATCGTGATACTTGGATCACGATCCAATATCGTGATATCTATTGATTGTTTAGATATATTAATGGATCACGATCCGTATCGTAGGATTTTTAGAAATCTTGAAATCCGTGGTCAATCCATGAATCACGCGATATCTATTGAACGTTTAGGTTCACCGTAATATAATATCACGTAATATATATGATTGAGACTTTTTTATTACTTACCTTAATATAGTCGCGAAGAACATATATCAATGCTTCACAGGTATCCATGACTGCTTGGATTACTGACTCTGGGGACATTATCCCGGCAAACCTTATATCTTTAAAATTTCTTCCTGTTGCCAAATAATGCAATGTCAGTCCCAATTTTTTTCTTACCAAAATTGCACTTCTCATTATTGTATGGTTTTTGGACAAAAATGGTGTAACTAATTCCTTGTAAAGTCGAATTGCATTCAATAAATTAAGATGCGTGGATTTGTCTCGATCTTGAAGCCATTTCTTTATCCACCTCTTTCTTTTCACTTGTCGTTTCAACGAAAATGCCAGTAAAATAGCTACACTCGCTTTAACCTGATTTTCTGTCTCCATTTTTAAAACGGCTTTCACAAAAATTATGAAAATACTGTCAAGATAAATATTGTACGTCTAGAGTCTATTGTGATCCATCAGTAAATATCGTGGTATCGTGATCCAAGTATCGCGATAAACATTGAACGTGTAGCGTTCGCCAATGAACATAAAAGTGCAGTCAGACGAAGTCAGCAGAACAGTCGTTAGAATAATAGCATTAATTAATAGCGATTTTGCAGGCTCATGTATATTCTAGTGAAACAGATAGAAATAGATTTGGGATACGTTTTACAAAGTAGTTTTATTCTGGCTAATCCTCAATATACATACAGTAATGGACAAAATTATATAGACACATATGAATATTTACCTAAATACCTTTAGAAAACGAATTCATACTCCATTGCTTCATAAGCAAATGCGTTATTAGTAGAAAAACTAAATTGCTTGTTTTTACATTATCTGCATTGAACCCAATGCAAGTCTGAATATAAGCACTTTTTTATGAAGGACAAAAATATGTAGACAAATTCTTTTCAACATTAGTTTAGCACAGTTTCGTGACAAAAGAGGATTAGTTTGTGTTCATCAAGTATTGTGGAATAAGATGAGTGATTTTAAGACCATGCCGCGTGGTCCAGAAATTTCTTTCGATGTGACAACTAAGATCATTGAGTTATACAAAGATGGTCAACGTCAAGTCGACATTGCCAAAAATTTGAAGCGGAAGCGTAAAGCAGTTTGGGCAATATTGAACAAATATAAACAAAAAGGTATCTTGGAAGCTTCTAAGAGAATTGGTCGGCCTAGAAAACTAAATGCTAGATTAATTAGATTAATAAAAGTAATTTCGTCCAAAGATCCATTTAAAACCCTAAGACAAATAACAGCCGAAATTGAGACAAAAGAAATTGTCAGTGTTTCTACGAAAACTATAAGTAGAAGATAAAATGATTTGAAGTTATTTGCACGTCGCCCGAGTAAGAAGCCGCTAATCTCGAGGAAAAACCGTAAGGACCGAATACAATTTGCACGGTTGCATCTTGATTGGAGCATATGTGACTGGAAGAGGGTATGTTTCAGTAACGAATCCAAGTTCAATATGTTTGGATCAGATGGTGTTCATTACGTTAGACGTCCTAGTGGACGAAGATTGAACCCCAAGTACACTTTGCCCACTGTCAAACATGGAGGCGAGTCTGTTATGGTTTGGAGGTGCTTTTCGGGGTTTGGGATGCGACCTTTACATAGAATAGATGGCATTATGGATAAGTTTGTATACACAGACGGAAGAAAATATGCCCTTAAGATCAATCTTCCAGCAAGATAATGACCCGAAGCACATTTCAAATCTCGCAAAGAAATTCTTTTTGGATGAAAAAATACCAGTTCTCAAATGGCTTTCACAGTCTCCCGATATAAACCCCATTGAAAATCTATGGGAATACTTGGATAAGCAAATACGAGATAAAAATTATTCAAACAAGGATGAACTTTTTGCCGCTTTAGAGCAAACGTGGAGACAGATTGATGAATTTTATATCAAATCAAGAAACTTCTACAATCTATGCCGAGACGATGCCAGGCGGTGATTGATAATAATGGTTATGCTACAAAATATTAACCCAAACGTGGTTGGTTTTCTATAATTCAATGAACTTTGCTTCTTTTTTCTATAATTGTTTTCATTTGTCTATATATTTTTGTCCTTCATAGTTCCAGTTTTTTTCAATTGATTTTTTATTGAAGGGAGTCTAATGAATCTATTTCAACAAGTTAAAAAATGAATACAGCACAATATTAATTTGTCTATATACTTTTGTCCATCACTGTATATGTGATAAATTCTTTTCTTCTTTGCTGATTGTCTTCTAATTATCTGCGGGTGCAATCTTCCTAAAGGGAAATCTCGCGGAAAGACAGGGTGGCCACACGAAGTAAGTTTGCAGAAACCTCATTGTTGTTAAAATCATCGGAGAGATCGGTACTTGTCAATTATTTTGGAACTATGGTGCCAAATGAGTGCATTTTTATAATGTCATTTACTGAAGAAAAAGAAATATAGTCCAAAGTGGAGCAAAAAGTAGCTTCTAGGACGAAATATACATTCGCATGTCAATCTAATTAATGAACTAAATTGTTTAGAACAAGTGCGCAAGTCTGCCATTTTACCTTCACGCCGTCCACACGTAAAAGTTTAACTGCATAAACAGGTTTGCACAAGTAAAACTTTCAGCAGAGCGACGTTCACACAAGTCGCACTTCTTGGTTTGCGTTAACTACCGTTTTACCGTCCACACGCTACATGTTCCCGATACAAACCTGTTTGCACAAGCAAGACCGTGGTGATACTTGTACATGCGGCCGGATATTTGATGGCAAACCCTTACAAAAATCCCATTCTTGTAGCAACCGCGCGATGCTATAGCAATTCCTAGGATACCTTACATCAGTTTCAAGTGCGGCTGCTATGAGGAGTTTATACTCGTAGAAACTTTGTTAATTCGATTTTTGAACTGCCTAATGTTAGTAGAACTGAGAAAAGCCTCCCCGTGTAGATTGTTCCACAATCTCGATACCCCAAACATGTGAGCAGTACTCGAGGCTAAGTCTTATCTGGGCCTTGTCCAGAGTGAGGAGGTCATGTGGAGAACAACAGTTCTGAGCCCTAAACAAATAGCCTAGCTTTTTCCCAGCAGCTGCCGCTATTAACGAGTTGTGTTCGTGCCAGATCAAGTCCTTGATGATCTGGACTCCGACCAGCCGAAATGAACGGCTTTTTTCTAGAACTCGGCCACCGATCAAAACCGGATGACGGCTAAGACGCTTTTTGTCCGTCAAAGTACACTGTATTATTTACAACCAGACTGCACTGGTCTCTTGTGAGCGAGGAACTCGCTGCTATAATATATTTTTTTAATATCTTCAAAACCCTCAACTGGAATGAACTAAAATTTGGTATGTGGATTTACCTCATTATGGTCCACATTTAAAAGTCTTTACTTAAAATTAACTTTACCAGTGGCGGAGATAAAGCAGTGGCGTACTATTTTTATTTGGAAAAATAATGCCACTAATCCCCTGTATCTCCGCCACTGGTGTACATTAATTTTAAGTAAAGACTTTTAAATGTGGAAAATACTTGGGTAAATCCATATACCAAATTTTAGTTCATTCCAGTTTCCAACGGTTTTGAAGATATTCAAAAGAATGGTTGTTTATTTTCAATTTTCAACACCCCGTAACTTTTTAATGAAACCCTCGAGGAAAGAATGTTACATAGGAGACCCCCTTTAAAATGCGGACGTGTATTTAGCGACACAAAATATGTACGATAGAGGTCATTTGAGCCGCTTTTATAGCATTTTAATTTTTAGTTAGCTTGTATACAAAACTGCAAAAAATTGGTCAGTCGTGAACGTTTTTTTGAGTCGCTGCAACCGAATCTGGGGCGCATTCGGTCCGAAAATGCCAAGACCAATCGTAATAAAAAATACTCCGACAACTCTCCTGCCGTCTATGTGGTAGAGCGTTAATGACTCTGAATACTTTTATAAATGCTCAGTTTTCGGTTTGTTCGTACAGTGGTCGGCAGGGTTGCCAACCGTACAATTTTAACTGTAGATTTACAGTTTTTCAAAAATCTTTCATGTTTTCAGTTCGGGCCTTCAATTCTACAGTTTTTTGTTTAAGATGCTACGGCCATCTTTTTTGTTTACTACGAAGTCGGAAGTCCATACAATAACTCGGTCTTAGTAAAATCTATCACTTGCCACATCGAATTATACGTAAAATCTACTTTGAATCAAATTCTTTTTGCAGCGGAATTCAATTAAATTTTTTTCATTTTTTTGTCACTCAAAGTCAACCAGCATCAGAACCGCTACGAAAATAACTTGATTTAGGTTAAGTCAGAAGTGTGCTATTCGTGAGCAATATACTATTCTCCACGAGTATCTATCGCGGAACAATGTCAAAAAAGACGGCTGATATGCATGCAAAAAGCAAATTCTTTTTGAGCGGTTGTGGTTCTGGTTGGCCTTGAGTGAATTTGGAACAATTTGAATGGAAATTCTGTCATTTTTATGTCACTAAAGGCCTACCAGAACCACAACCGCTCAAAAAGAATTTGCTTTAGCAATGCAAAACTTTTTGACCTTGGTCCGCGATATATACTCGTGAAAATTACTGTAAATGTAAGGCTGTATATTTACAGTTTTGTAAATAATATTCTACAGTTATCTACAGTTTTTTGCAAGCTCATATACAGTTATTCTCTCGGATGAGGTTGGCAACGCTGTGGTGTTCGATGACATGTCGTTGACTGTGTCTGGGATCCGGCCATGTGAATTTAGTCTATACAGCGGAGCAGAATGAGTGGAATTAGTATTGCGGGATCCTGGACACGGTCACTGACAGGTGACGATACCTGTACGAACTGAGCTTTAATAGGATAAAATATTTTTTTTCCTATTTCTTTTATCAATAAAACAAACTTTTACTATATAAATATGTTTAATATCTATGTCTTCTAAAATTACATGATCATTAA